CTCGCTCTAAACCATATCACCCAAGGCCTCGTCCAGCCTGGCCTTGAACACTGCCAGGGATGGAGCATTCACAACCTCCCTGGGCAACCTATTCCAGTGCCTTACCACCCTAACAGGAAAGAATTTCCTCCTTATATCCAATCTAAAGTTCCCCTGTTTAAGTTTTAACCCATTACCCCTTGTCCTATCAGTACAGTCCCTAATGAAGAGCCCATCCCCAGCATCCCTATAGCTCCCCTTCAGATACTGGAAGTCTGCTATGAGGTCTCCACACAGCCTTCTCTTCTCCAGGCTGAATGACATTCTTAGAAGTACCAGCTCCAGATGGGAAAACTGCAAGCATGGGCTTAGAAGCAATGCTTTCACATGCTTGTGCTCATGCATTCTCTTCTAGGACCTCTTTAATGAGGACTACATTACAGATAGCTGGAGTGATTGAACCATTTAGTCAGATCCTTATATGCATCCTTATGCAGACAAAGATCCAGCTGCCCCTTCCCTCACAGCCTTTGGTTTCCCGGGAGTTGTGTCAGGTTTTCATCCATTACTCCACGCTTTGGGAATGAAGACAGGCTGGTACTAGGACAGCTTTGCCCTGTGAAGGCACATCTTTCACCCTCCATTGCAAACAGCCCTGCCCTTCTCTCCACAGTGAATTCAAGACTGAAATGCAAAGCCAGCTATTTCAACATTTATCAGGAAAGACAGAGCAGGGATAGTACATACAGACACAAAACCCTTCTGAAAGAGGCATACAACAACTAAATGCCATCTTCAGTGCAAGACTATTCACAAGTCACACAGAGCTGAGCCTCTGCCATGAACTACAATCAAGAAATGAACTCAAGGCATGAACTGCTCTCCTAGCTCCCCTCACTTGTGTCTGCATGATAACCAAGAGCCAGTGCTGCAGAAAAGGAGAGAGACTCCTGAGTGATCCTTTCTAATAGATTCGTCTTTTATCATGTTTTCATGACCTTTGTAAAAGGCAATTTAAATTCTAATTGTCCTGTGAGCACCACAGGAATCAATTAGTGACACGAGATGTTAATTGTGCAGACTGGGAGGAGGCAGTGTGAGGCTGCTCAGCTCCAACACGGGGTTAAGAGCCCAGGGGAATGCTGGGATGGTCGGGGCTTTAATCAGTCCTCCCTTTTTAATAGTTTCCATGTTGTGCTGCAGTTGTCAAGGTCCATTAGTCTTCTGGAGCACTGAATGAAGCAGTGGCATCCCCTCCATCCCTGCATTCCGCAAGCACACGCACAAAGGATCAGAATGAACTGCCATGGAGAAAGCAAATCCTAAACCCTCTTTCTCTTTTTGTTCTTGCTTCCCCCTCTCTACAGACCCTGCATAGAAATCAGGCCTTGGGCACTGGCTATTACAAAGCAAACGCTTCATGTCTGTGGGCTGTAGGGGAGGTGAGCCCTGGCCCTGTCATCTCAACATCCAGCTTGAGCTGTCTGTGAAAAGCAAATGCTCCTGGTTTTGTACCGGGGCACAGAGCATCACTCACGAAGACACTGGCACTGCTCAGACTGCCCCTTAAAATGCCAGGTGAAGGCCAGGCTGAATGCTCAGTATTTACACAGGCACAGAGAAGGAAAATGGCAATATGTAACCCAACAGACTGTCCAGCCCATCCTGGCACAGGTACCTTGCAGTAGAAGAGGACTTGGCACAAGTGACCAAGTTCACCCTGAGACACATTATTTGTTACTGATTTCTCATCAGATGAGAGTGGTCCTGCCCTGCTCCTGCACCATCTGGCTGGCCAGCAGCTGTGCACAGGGAACTTAGGCAGTGGTTCCAGTGCCCTCAGCATCTCCACAATGTGTAGTGCAACTTCAGGCTATGGAAGCTTGTCCTGGGCAAGGCTGAGCATCCACGGTGGTTACATCCCCCAGAAATAACAACCCACCAGCCATCACAGACCGTTATCACCACATCAATCTACATTAGGTGCTTAGCCAGCCCTCAGCCTCAGAAGCTGCCTTGGGTAGGTGTTGTGCAGGCCCCTGGAAAATCTGTGCATGGAATTCACACTTTAAAATCTCACTCCCCAACAACTCATCACCAGCTCTAAGGCCTTCAAAAAACAGGAGAATGGTATGCATCCACCCTTGTGATACAGAGAAAAACTGCAGCATAAAAGCTAAATTGGCATTAGATTTGTCTTTCAAGCCTGTATCTGCACTCTCATTCTCACAGTCACATATTGGATCCTGAAACTGAACTGGATCATACCAACAAGCTGCATTTTACCTCAGATCTGACGTACAGAACTGCAGGCTCAGTCCAGCTGTGCTCCTTCTAAGCTTCTACCTTCATCCAGATGATGACTGATATTTCTCTGACTCCTTAACTCACTCTTTGCTGGTCATCTCAATAACTCACTGCTTTGAGGGTCCCACAGTCAATCTTTTTTCCCTGCAAATTGAAGAGGGAGTTAGCACCAGTGCCATTTGTCCCTGCCTTGCGCCAGTGGAAGGGTAAAACCACCTCCAGTGCCTTCATCTCCATAGCAAAATCTCACCAACCACCTCCCTTGGAACCATTTATTCTCAGGTTTGAGATTCTTACCCAAGAGATCAGCCTCTTACCCAAAGCGTGCCCTCTCCCAGAGCTTCACCAGGATGTTTAATTACTTCTGACTCTGCCTCAAGCAGAGAACATGCTCTTTCTCAGCAAATGCTTTTCTTGGGAATGCTTTCCCCATGGACACAGACTGATAGAGTTTTTTGATTATGTAGTCTTTTAAAATCTGTGTCATACTCTCTAGCAGCCTCTGGAACAGGAGATAGGGACCATTTCTGTAAGGAGCACTGAACACAATGGGTATGACACCACCATCACATACCCTTAACCAGATCATTGTCATTTTTCAAACTGAGCTTTAAGTACCCAACCCAGAAGAAAGGAGGAGAGGACCTCAGCATCCGTGAAAGTCTCAGGGCTTCTGCTTCCTGGTGATGGCACCAGAACCAACACCCTGTAACTCATGAGCACAAAGCTAAGCATAGCTTTAGCTAGCTGTAATTTGGAAGAAACAGTTAACCTACTTATATAGAACACCTCCAAACAGATTTGGGTCTCATGGCAAAACTGCTATGCAGCAATTCCTGCCTTAATGCTCCCAGAGCAAATGTTATTAACAGTTCAGCTCTTGGCTTCCAGAGACCCTTTTATTTTTATATCAAATCCCACACACACACAGTTTGGTGAGAGCAGAAAGCCTCAAGCATACTGGCAGGATGTGAGATGGAGCATGGCCTGGGACAGAAAGATTGCTTAGAGTCCAAGTAAGCCAGAGAAGACAGGCAGTGTGACCAGGTCTGAGACTGGAGCCAGCAGGGCATTAGCACCTCAATGAAATTCCTGGGCCATCTCCTTCCCTCTGCAGGGAGCTCAGAGCTTCCCACCAGCACCATGGACTTCTGTGGCATAAGTGAGAACTAAAACTGGCAGGTGTGAAGTGCAATCCTTACGTGAGATGCATCCCATCCCTTGCCAGAGAGTCCTTTCCAGCTGCCACATCCGTTTGCCTGAGCTGTGGAACAAAAACAGTCTCCCTCCCACCATCTTTATGAAATAGAATAGAATTAGCAGTTTCTCTACTCGTCCTCTGCAAGGCACATCTACAAAGCCTTTTCTGAATTTCCATTAAAAATAATAATGCATTTCGTTCTGCTCCACAAGGCCCATTGCTCACCGGCCCACATCTCTCAGGCTCCACTAGTCTTCCTTCCTTTCACCCGCATAATCGTTTTGTGCTCTCACCTTTTCTTTCCATTATTCGGGTGATTGTGGACACGTTTTTATTGCTGAGATTCACAAAACAACTCAGTCAGCCCTTACAAAGCAGACCTGATAGGGCTCTAGAAGTGGGAAGGAATGACTATGTTCTTTGGTCCTCACACCACACATGTGGCTGTGGCGTTAGAGCTGATCCGTCTCAGACCTGATGGGGAAGTTCAGTGCAGAGCTCAGGGCTGCTATGCAAGTGCTGTACAGGCTCCTAGCAGAGCTGCAAGTGAGTTTGTTCTGGTGCATTGGTTCCTCTGCAAGGTTTGATGCCCTCATACAAAATTAGCATACAGTGAACCCAATCTTTTAAAACCAAATAGGAAACAAATACCCTCTGAAGGATCATGACAGAACTGAGTAAAATAGGCTCATACGTCAAGAGATTCCTTGAGGCATCAGCTCCCCATGCCTAGGGACCAGCTGAGAAGAGAAACTCCCTCTGGAGGCTGCTAATGCCTTCCTCTGCTTTCTGAAAAGGATGAAAAAGACAAGCTCCCTCGTTCTTGCTTTTCCACTTCATTCATTCACCAGCATCTGCATTGCGTGCTCACACAGTCTGCACCATCCTGGAACGTTCAAGGGAAGGCAGGAGGAGCTCCAGTCAAACCTACAGCCTCAGCAAAGGCTGCATTCACGGCAAGTTGCTCAGAGGAACAAAAAAGCCTGAGTAAAGAGCTGCCAGAGGAAACCCTTTTCTTGGCACAGCCACTTCTAACACCTCCATAAATCCCAGGAATTAGCCTGCATATATTGTAACACCTAATCCGCTAATAAATGTGTATAATGTACATGATATATGTATATGTAACAGATAGCATACACACAGGTGTTAAAAGATGATATAGTGCGTCATACACATATACATCATACATCTAATTACTAGACATTACTTCAGACACACCCGGTTTTGCCTTTCCCTTTAACTCTAGCATTCACTGAGTACACCTTAGGGGTTCCGATTTTCCTAATCCTGAATGTAATTCTTTAACCTTCATTTTATCCCCCCAGAATTGCTGCCCTGAATGCCTCCTGTGATGCTGTTACTTATTCACAGTTAAAGACAGCCTTATTTCATCAGCCCATCTACCTCTTGCTCTCCTGATTCTCCCTATTCACAAGCAGCTTTGCTTCTTTCCTTTTTCATTCACTTGGAATGGCCCGTAATGGCTCCCCCATGGATTTTCAGTACCCACCTGTCCCAGTCCAAGCATGACGGTTGGAATCAGGTCCCTTGCTGAGAGCAATGACTGGAGGCTTTCATCAGCTGAACTGTGCTGAAGGCAGGGGCTAAAGCTTCACCAGCTTTTGCATTCTTTTCCCTCCTCCACTCCTATAAGGCAGATCCTATAAAAAGGAGAGAGGATCAAGCATGGGTACCTTCAAAAACACACCAGATTCTACACCTCAGCAACCACACATCTCTTGCACCAGGCACATTAGAAGGAAAGAAACTGAAAGACAAGTAGCAGTTATGAGAATTGGGCTAAAAAGAAAGGCCAGGAAGACAAGAATTTCACTTGCCAAGTAGGAATTTAAACCGATTAGCTTCTAATAGCCTGGAGTGAATGTTGACATCAAAAATGTTCACTTACAAGCTGCTATTCTTTCTCAACGCTATTTTATCCAGCTGCCAGAAAATACAGCCATATTCAAGAGCTACAATAAAACATATCAACTTTTAAAGTGACTGAGCTGCAGCCAAGCTCCCATGATGGCATTGACCACATCAGAACTGGGTCATTAGGGCACAGCCACTGCAACAGGTCTTACACATCTAACCTGGCATCAGTCATGTTCACAGGCACTGCAGACTTTGCTAGCTCCCACCTGGCACTCAGCACTTACAAAGTCATGGCACTGAGTACCAGAAGCCACTGAGTCCCGTGGCAAATATGCTTCTTGCTCTTCTAGCACCAGGCATGCCCATTCCAAGGTTGCAGATGTAACCATCTCCTGCTAAAAACATCCTAAAGGTGTAGGAGCAGGCTGGCCCCATATACCGAAAGATGAGGTGGTGGGGAAGACAAGCCTGGGTGAACAGAGAGCTTTAGCTAGAACTTGGGAAGAAAGAGCTTCTGACCTTTGGAAGAAGGGAAAGGCAACTCAGGAAGACTACAAGGAGGAGGTTATGCAGGGAGAAAGTGAGAAGGGTCAAAGCCCGGCTAGAACTGAATCTGGCTACTGCCATAAAAGACAATAGATAACATTTCTGTAAATATGTTAGCAACAAAAGGAGGGCTAAGGAGAATCTCCAGCCTTTATTGGATGCAGGGGGAAACACAGTGACAAAAGATGAAGAGAAGGCTGATGTACTTAATGCCTTCTCTGTTTCAGTCTTTAACAGTAAAACAGGGTGTTCTGCAGGTAACCAACCCCCTGAGCTGGCAGACAGGGACAGGGAACAGAATGAAGCCCCCAGAATCCATGGGGAAATGGTCAGCAACCTGCTACTCCCCTTATATACACACAGGTCTATGAGGCCAGATGGGGTCCACACAAGGGTCCTGAGGGAGCTGGCAGAAGTGCTCATGGAGCTACTTTCCATCATTTATCAGCAGTCCTGGCTCACCAGGGAGGCCCCAGGTGACTGCAAGTGAGTAAATGCGATGCTCACCCATAAGAAGGGCCAGAAGGAGGAGCCAAGGAACTACAGCCCTGTCAGCCCAACCTTGGTGCTAGGGAAGGCAATGATTCTACGAAAGGGATACAGTAAGACACAGACCAATGTTCTACATCAAGTCACCCCCAACACAGAGGGAACACTGTGGTGTCTCCTCTGCATCAGCCTTCGGACATTGTGCTGTCATGGTGGTGAAAGCTGTTAGAGCAACCAGGGATGTAATTAAAACATGGTTTGTTCATGTGCGTGTGGGGGAAACGTACTCACAGACCGAGAAGACATCAAAATAAGATGTGACTTGAAGCTGATGGAAGGAAACAGCTCACTGAGGAAACAGAAGATTGTTTTAACAGTAACAGCCACTGGGTGGTAGATTCTGCTACCAAGAGACGTGGTCAAGAAGGCACTGCTGCAAGGAGCCAGCAGTGGTTTAGGCTGAGTAGTAACGGTGCTAACACAGAGAAGTCCTACAAACCCTGCACATCAGTTATATCCCAATGGTCCCTCTCAGCCCCATGCTCACAAGTTACACAAAACCAAAGCAGAAAGAGGGTGTGCTTGGTCAAAAGGAGCATAGGGCTACAATGAAACCCCTAATTAAACTGATGCAACATGGGTAACACCAAAATTGGTTCCAAGATCAATATTTCCATGCATTTACAAGCACAACGAGGTGAGAGGGGTGGGCAAAGTAAATAATTAACTCATTGACAGTTGGGGAATTTTTAGCAGAAAGAGTCATTTTAACCACCTGGGTCATTAGTTATGCAGTTGACATTAATCACAACTACAGCAATTATTTCAAGTATTTGATTGATCAATCCAGAGGAAAAACTGAGCTAGGCCAAACCACCCTTGCTGCATCGCCCTGCTGGTCAATCAGTCAATACAGAGGTGCTGGCTTTCAGAAACGTGACATGTTTCCTGGGGGCATCACATAACCAGTCCTCTGCCTGGCTGGATATAACAATAAGATGGATAGAACACTTCAAATGTAGAGCATGAGGCTTTCAAGCTGAACTGAAGAGTATTTATTAATGCTAGACTTGCTGAATTGTGATTCTCAGCACTTGTGGCCCTCCAGCTGCTAAGGCACAAATACTATCACACGCACAGACCTGACAATATGCATGAAAAATACCATTACATGACAGTGTGTGTCAGCCTCCATAGGCCAAAACTCCTAAGTCTATCCTTCTTATCTATAATATGAGCAGTTACTTCAATTGGTCTGAACATGATGATTATTATTAAAAAATCAGGTTAGAAAAGCACAGACGTAGCTGCTATTCTTTCCTTGCTATTTTTCCTTCTAATACTCTTGTCAGAGGAGAATTCCTGTTTGCAACTCCTACTACTGGTAGCAATGATCTTCAGTTTTGTCCAATTAAGTCTGCAGAGCCTTGGAAAACTACCCACATCAAATTTCAGCACCTTGTTGAGGACATTCACACCTATCAGCAGGCAGCTGTGATGTGCTGTATTGAAGGCCACTCTCCTCCGGTTTTGCCGTGGATTATGCTGCTGCTTTCAAAAATGCAAATGTTAACTCCCAGAACAAACTTGGCTGCTGCCGTTAAGCTTCTGTGTAAACTGAACTGCAGCAGACTTCCATTACAAGAGCTCAGCCATTTAAAAAGATGAAAATTACAAGATGGGGCACATCTAAAAACAAATATTGGAACGTTCAACCTGTATTGTATTGATTATGCTTCCTCCAGCTAACGTTTCTACTGCTGCATATAAATGCAACTAATGCTTATCACAAAGCCTGGAAAGATCAAGCATCTTTTGGACTGCTTCAACTCTTGCAGGGAATCTGCCTTATGGCCATAGCAATGCCAAGCTGCGATGCTTGGCAAGTGATTGCACCCTCTTCTGAGCGTCACCAGGTGAGACACAGGCTCTCCTGTGTGTGCACAGCACATCAGGCTGCCACACAAGGGTGAAGCACACTCCCAAACCTCTTGTATGTCCATCCCTCACATGCAAAGCCAGGAGATTCCCACTCCAGTGCAGAGGACACCCTGCAGGAAGAGAAATAGCGTCTAGAAGAAGCCAGCACATGCGTGCTTTTGGTACTATCAACCACTCCAAGTCTCTAGCCTGCTCTTCAAGCAGCATATTTCTTACATCTGGCATGCAAAATACTGTAATAGTGAAGAACGTCCCATTTTGATTTAAATGAATGTATTTATTTCCAAATGGGAGACCGTAAGTTAAACAAACACATTTCTCTCTTTGTACATGAAAGCATTGTTTTGTCACAGATGTACAGTATAATACATTTATTTTCTCAATTGTTTTGTATTTGTAAGGCACTGCCAGTTATTTGCATGGGTTTGTAAGGATGAAGCAAATTGCTCTGTGGGGCTCTATTCAGGGAACATAATATTCCCACAAAAGCACCATAATTCTGCATGCAGCAACACAAACTACCACGACATCGCAGCAGCTGGCAGAGTAGATGGAGTTAGCATTATCAAAACCAGCATGACAAGTCTACTCCAAAACCCCCTTACATGCATAAATTAATGATGAATGTACATTGATTAGCCCCCCCCAGGCTCCACAGAACCCTGCCTCCCCTGCAATGTAACTTTGAACCTCACCAGTTATTTTGTCAGGCCTGGGGAGCACTTCAGCTTTCTCTTGAATCGCATTGGCCTTGCCCAAGCCTCTTAAGCCCTGCTTGCATTAGCGCTCTGGGGAAGATCTGGGACTGTGCTAGAGCCCCTAAGCCATGGGGAACAGCCAAGAACACAGAATGGTATTAGTAATGTGCCAGGCGGTGCATTTTGGGAGGTCTGCCACACAGAAAGCTGGGAGGAAGAACATCCTGCCAAGGATCGCATCTGTGTTTCACAAGTTAGACAGAAATTCATCCATACCTGACTTTCTGACCAAGTAACTCCCTTCTCCAGGCATGCTCCCTTCTCCAGGCGTGCAGCGTGGCATAACAAGCCATCACACAAACACTTTGTGTGACTATGTTTTCCATTACAACAACAGGCTGGAAGCATGCACAGACTCACTGGACATCCTCAGGGCTCTCCATCCATTTGCCAGCTTCCTACACAGCTCCCTCTAACCAGTTCCGACCCAGCATGCTGCAGCTTCCTGAAACCTAACCACAGAGGCCTTCATACCCATCTTTAATTCCTTCTGGTTACACACAGATGAGTTTAAGAACAAGAAAAAGAAAATAGGTGCAGGTTGACTAACCCAAGTTAGTAAACTCAGATTAAAGCAGGAGTGAGGACAAGTCAGCTTGTCCTGGAGGCTCAAGTAGAAGAAAAAAGTGGTAATTCACATTGCAAGTCAGTTTGTCTTCTGTGATATTGAATCTGAGTGCAGTGCCTTTAGCACACAGAGATAAATAGGTAGGTTCACACGGAGTATATAAGCCAATAATAATGATACATGGGCAGTCTGAATAGGAAAGCCTCCTGTTCGACCACAAACTCTCTAAAATACCCCTGCAATTTCCTATATCAGCTGATTTGACCTTTAATTAAAGGCACATCTTCACTTAGTCACTAATTCCTGTGGGTCACCTGTGGAGCTGCTGAAGTCAGGCTTCACTTTGCATACTGATGACTCCTCTCAGCCCATGAATATGCTTTTGGGTGTTGCTTCTGTTAGCATACACAAGCTCAGCTTGAGCAAACCCTACACAGCCTAGTTTATATGAGCAGGTGCACTGAATGAGTAAGAGGAAGAT